TGTCAGATGTGAACTCCCTCAGCTTTCGTCTTTTCTTCTAACATAAGCGTGCATTTGTATCTCGCCCCATCTTCCCATCTCAGTGCAGGAGGTGTCTGTTCCCCTGTCCAAGGTGAATCCTTCTGACGTGCTCTGGATCTCATCCTCAGAGCCTTCAGTCACACACCAGTAAATACGACATTACAATTGCGATAAGTACTACAAAAGAGAGGTTGACTTGAGTGTAATTAGTTGAGTTCAGTTAGAGAAATTAGGGAAGGCTTCCATGAGGGGACGGCAATTGAATTGAGATCTGAAGGAGAGTAGAAATTAATTATGCAAAGAGATGAGTAACGAAATACAGGCAGCGGGAACAGCATGTGCACAGACCCTAACACGGGCATTACGTGTTTAGCGAACTGAAAGAAGGCCAGTGTGACTAGAGTGCAGAGAGTCGGAGGAAAAATGATTGTAAGGCAAGATTGGACAACCAGTTAGAGGGCTTGGATAGCCTTGTAGTCTGTGTCAAAGATGTCGATGTTTATCTTTGGAGCAGCAGGAAGACATAGAAGTCATTTTAATAGGGAATGATGTGAATCCTTTAGCTGCAGCATGGAAAAAAGACTAGAAAGAAGCAGGAGTGGATGTAAGTAGACCGGTTAAGAGGCCTGCAGTGGTTTAGGAGAGAAATAATAGCGCCTTGTATTAGGGTGGTGACATTGGAAATGGAAATAAGTGGGCCTGTCTGATGGCTGTTTTAGGTAAGGAAATTGACAGGATTTGGCAGACGGAGAATGAAGGAGATGGAGTTGACTCCTGTTTCTGGCTTGTATCACTGGATACAAGGTGATGCCATTCACTGAAAAATATCTGGTTTGAGGGAAAGATCATGAATTCAGTTTTACTATATTAAATTATGAATGCCTTTAAGATGACTAAATAGCAATGTCAAATAGGCAGTTGGATATAGAAGGCTGGAGATGGAAATTTGTGAGCCATCTACAGATTGGTATAATTGAAGTAATTTTGAAAACAAGAAAGGATGTCATCAGCACATCAGAAATACAGAGGAATTCTTAGAAATAGATGAGATCAGATTCATAAATATATCAAGAGCAGAGAAAAACCACTGCAGAGGTAAGAGTAGCTCTAGGAATACTCCGAACACTTGGTGAATAAATGCAGAAGACTGTAATAGAAGAGGCCCTGAAGGAGTTGTCAAGGTGACAGATTAAGAACTGCATTTGAAACATCTGGTCCTTTTCTTATCTCCTTCTTATATTGGAAACACTGGCAGCGAGCAGTGCCTGTTGCCAGGATAAAACCCTGAGAACTACCACTAGACAAAGGGACCTGTCAGGGCTGGCTCCTAAGGATCAATGTTGGGGCTGGACTGAGAAGCGGAGGAGAGTCTGAAGTTATTTCCGATTGCCACAAGGATAGCAGAGGAAGAAAAAAGTAAAAGAGGTAAATAATGTTTATGTTTGTTAACTCCAGGATAAAGGTATAATATGGCCCTTTGAAGTGGGAATTCTGCTATCAACTTCCATTGCAGACCCTGGTCAGGCAGTTAGAGCAGTGCCCCCGTGTAATCTACAACACCCAGGAATTCAGGAGGGCGTCCCTACCAAGAACACAGGTTCCCAGGATGTCTTATCACTCTTCCAGAATCTCCAGAAGCAGGCTGCTGTTCCAGAATTTGTACTCACTGCCACATAAACAGAGATTCTCCAATAGAGATGTGAATGGGGCAATGGGTAGGGCCAAACATTTGAAGAAAACCGTGCTACGGAAAAGAGGCAACAAGTGTGACAAACAGAAGAACTATCATCTGAGGAAATAGCAGAAAACTTTAAATATCTTTTTAGATAACAAGAGGCCACTGAATCCATAATATAACAGGCTGCTCTAAAAATATGTATAGTCCCTGGAAACTAAAACTATTACCAAGTTAAAAACTTAATAAATGAGTCTAATATTGGGATGAATTCAGCTGAAAATCAAATAAGTGAGCTGGAAAATAGAGGAACATTTCCTAGAATATAGTGCTCAAGAAATGCTTTTCTCTCCTTCCTCTCCCTTCTTTGCCTGGTTAACTTCTGTATGTTCTTCAAAAGTAAATTCAGGTGTCATTTTTACTGGGAAGCCTCTCCTGACCTCTCTTCTCTCTTTCTATTAATAGATGACTTACTCTATCCTGGTAGTTCTGGGGCATTCTGTATACTTCTGTCACGGGACACAAAACAGTAGCATAATTATTTGTGTTTGTCTTTTCATCTTGGCCCTAAAACATTGAGAAATAGAACTATGTTTTATCTTCCTATCCTGTGCTTGGAACGTAATACACTTTCACATGCTTGTTGAATGGGTCTCGTACTCTCTTTAGAGAAAATAAACCATTTAACCATAATCAGTATCTTCTAATGTCATAGTTTAAATATATGAGAAATATCCTTGGTTACTAGATTTATCAAGTTGACATGTGAAAAGTTTAAGGAA